TAGCATTCCTCAGAAGAGCTGAGGTTCTCTTGTTGTTCTGCGTTTTTTTAGATTGTGGACATTCAGATTAGTATTTCTGCCATTTTTTATTCATTTTTTAAAAGTCAGGGACAGCTCATGAAAAGTTGTTAAACAACATACTAAATGTAATGTCAACCCTCACTCTATACTGTTGCTGATGAGAGCATCAAATGAAGGTAAGATTGGGTTTGATAGTAGCTTTCTGATTTTGGTAGTCTATTGAAGAAGGGAGTTTGAAAGTTGTTGTATACTGTTAATGACTATCTGTTCATGTCGTACCTGAAATACCAAAATTGTTTATGAAAAGTATCTTTAATAAAGCTGGATACAGTTTGGCTTGGGGAGGGGAAAAAGAGTAAATTTCTGAGTGGCATGTGCTATATGAAGAAAAAGAAATGAAGAGAGTAACATGGAGTGCAAGCAGTTGTTAGACTAGAGTCTGAGAGGAAGTAATATTTAAGGCCTAGATACCAGGAAGTGGAGCTCAGAGAATGTTTGTCAGTGGCGATAAAGGCAAGTCAGAATACAATAGGAGTATTTCAGATTTTATCTGGCAAAGGAATTACTGGGCATCTACTGTATACCATATCCAGCGGTCAACTAAGAAAATGTGGTCCCTTTTCTAGTCTAGTGGGAGATTACCTAATTAAAAAAAAAACAAACCAACAAAAAACACACCACCACCCCACCTATTGCAAGTTACAGCAACCCTATGGGACAGAGTAGAACTTTCCATAGAATTTCCAAGTTATAATCTTAACCAAAGTAGATTGTTCCATCTTTCACAAAGCATCTGGTGGGTTCAAACCATCAACATTTTGGTTAACAGCCAAACATTTAACCATTGTGCCAAGACCATTAAATAAGAAAATGTGCAAATAATTAAAGATTATGAACAACTATAGTTAGAGTGTTTGTTGTATGAAAAAAGCTTCCACTTGGAGAACATAATACCCTTGCCTTTTAGGAAGCAGACTGGTCTCTTCATGGATTTTTGTTTTGTGTTTTTGTTTGTTTTTTTTATTTTTGTGTGTGAGTGTACCGTCAAATCAGATCTGACTGGTACAGGAGGAGATTGTCCCTCCTTTTCCCGGCAGAGCATCTGGTGGATTCGAACCATGTGCCTCTGGGTTTGTAGTTGCAGCTCCTTGCCACTAGGCCACCAGAGCTCCCCGGATTTTTTTTTAAATAAACTTTAAAATTTTAACTTTAGAACTGTTTTAGAGTTAGAGAATTATTGTGAAGGTAGTAGAAAGAGTTCCTAATTTACTACTCACCCAGTCTTCCCTATTATTAACATGATTTGTTATAATTAATGAAGCAATTTTGAGACCCTGTTATTAACAAAGTCCCTATTTTGTTCTGACTTTCTCAGTCGTTCACACTTTGTGTCCCAGGAGCCCAGGACGTCTCATTACACTCAGCTAGTGTGTCTCCTTATACTACAGTTGGTTCTGATAATAACTTATCTTGTTTTTTATGAGTTTTGAAGATGTTGGCCAGGTATTATTATGTGGAATGCTCCCCAATTGAGTATTGTCTGATATATGTCTCATGATTTACTGGGGGTTTGTTTTGGGAAGGAATATCATGGGGATAAAGTGACATTTTCATTATCAACATGGCTTACCACCACTGGTAATGACCGTGACCACCTGGTTGAGGTAGTGCTCATCAAGTTTTTCTACTGTAAATTTACTCTTTATTTTTCTTCCTTTCCATAGTATACTTTTTGGAAAGAAGTCACTGTGCTTGGATCCTACTTAAGGAGTGGGAGGTTATGCGCCTCCTTCTTGAGAGCAAAAGATCTATATAATTAGTTGGAATTCTACAGAGGGATTTGTATATTCAAGAATCCTCATCTATTTTATGGTCTTTTTAATTTTTTTCAAGTTTTAAAACTCCAAGTTTCTAGAGACCCAGAAATACATTTATTTCAATTAATAAAATGCATAAAAATCCCAAAGTACTAAATCAGAGTGTAAAGTAGAAAATCCAACTATTATTTTGTCTCTGTTGTCAATATGTATAAATAAAATAAAATTTGAGAAATAACAAAAAGCAGAAAGGAGCACCTCCTTACTCTCATTGCTCAGAACTGACCACTGTTGATATTTTTCTTGTTTTTCACTTTTCTTCAATGCAGTTTTTATATAGATTATACTATGTCATTTTGCACCCTGCCTGTACTTTTTTACTTTTAGCAAAGTCATAGCAAAACAATTTCCTCTGTTGCTGTACAGACCCCCTAACTATTCTCTTTAGTAACCACTCTCACATAGCTTGTCATTTCCCCCTGAACCTAGCATGATGCCTGACACAAAGTCAGTGTTTACAAATTATCTGTGAAGTGAATAAATATACAACAAATTTATCATTCCCTTGTTTTTAGAAATGTAGGTTATTTTCTGTTTTCTTGATTGGAAATAGTTCACAGACAGATTATGCCCTGAGGATAGTGTCCCAGAGTGGAATTACTGGGCCAAAGGAGGCCAAAACTTCTAAAGAGAAATGCTCAAAACCAGAAATCTTCCTCCCCTTTGCACCACCAATAATTGTGCCAAAAGTAATAATTTACAATTGATTAAAGAGTTTGTGGGGTGTTTTTTCCCATCTTTTACTCCCTCCTCCTCTTCCTCTCCTCCTGCCAAAAAGGGGGAAAATTATCTGAGAAGGTGAAGATGTTCTCAGACAATCATATTAACATATTCCAACAATCGCAATTTGCAAAATAGTAATCACAACTCCCGGGATCTGGGAGGCATTAATCAAAGCTGCAGGTTTAATTCCATTTTAAATATTGATGAAATGTTCTTCGGCAGCCTCACCCTGGCGTGGCAGGGCCAGGGGAGCCGCTGAGAAGCACCAGGGCGTGGAGGGAGGGGTAGTGAGCAGCTGCCAGGAGGGGAGGCATCTGGGATTCAAATTGGTGGCTTTGCAGCCAGGTAGAGAGTGAAAGGGGTAGTGAAGAGGGCTGTTAAGTCCATTGCTGTCAATTTGTAACAATCAGGGAGGGGCCTGAAGACTGGTTCAGCACAATAAACCCAGTTTGTCTGGTTTCAGGGGTTACCACTGAAGAGGTTGCAGCTGCACTGATTCGAATAGCCTGGAGACTTCAGAACTGTAATTATCAACCAGGCTGCTCACAGTGTGGCAAAAGTGGGCTTCACCAGCGCTTAACTCCTTGTGTGCTGACACGTTAAGTTACTCTTGCTTTCCCTGAGATTGCCTCCCCACCCTGAGACTGCGCAGCTACTGAGGGAGCCCCAGGCAACATCCCCAAGGGAAACTGAGGCCCACTGGCTGGTTAGGACAGTTATCAAAGGCCAGACAGCAAGCCTTTTATCCCTAAGTGGCATACAAAGGAAAGAGTGAGGCATAGTGGAGGTTTTCTACAGAGCAGCCTCTGCGTCTCGCATCACCATGCCTGTCTTGGGGTGGGAAAGGTTAGGCTGTGGAACTTGATGAACCTTAGTTTTAATTCCAGTTGGTGTGGACACAGGACAGGGTTTGTCCGCTCTGAAAACTCAGAGTAATCTCCTCTACCCCACTGTTCTATTGCAAAGATTAAAAAGATTCAGCGTACACAGAGCATCTGGTTCAGAAGCATCTGGCTTTTCTGCAGGCCCTCTGAGTCTCCCACTCCTAGGGAACATCCTTGTTCTCTAGCTCCTGCCATTTGAAGGAAGACATCTTAGACCAGAAGCTAAGGGCTAAAGGCAAGGTAAAGAGAGGTGGTATGAGCTTCTCCAGTACTACCACCCTGAGGATGAGGGTCTGGGCTAGTTCTCTTTGAGTCCCCAGGGCATGGCATAAAGAGAAAAGGAGAGTCGGATACAGGCAGGCAAATGGGCAGGTGTGGTACACAAGAAAAGAACAAAGACTTGATTGCAGTACTGGTGAATGATGTGTATGTGATTCCATCAAGAGGCTCCATCCCTTGTATCTATAAAAGGAGGTGTGCAACGTGTGTCTTTGAGTCGTTCACAGTGACAAGGATTGAGAGGCAATCTCCGTGTCCACCATGGGGAGGACAGATGACAGTCTCCTGTATAACAGCAGGCAGTAGGAAGCAGCAAAGTACTAAATGTGCATGCAAGGAAGGAGTAAGAGCCTAGAACACCCACTGCCATCAAGTCTAGTCCGATTCATAAGCATCCCAAGATCTTGAAAATGTGGTGTTGAGTGAAAAGAGTAAAACACAACGAAATTCACAGCACAATGCCATTTATGTAAATTAAAAACACATTCACACACAAAACAGCAGTACATATTTTACAGAGCTACGTGCATCTTTAAAAGTATATGTCCCACCATTAAAGTAGGTCCCTGTGGGCAGGGGATGTGGGTGTGGGTTTGAGGGGGAAAATAAAAAAGAAGCCACAGAGGGGCCTCGTGCAGAGAGATGGCAGCAGTGAGCCTGAAGTGTGTGACCCACTCAACTCCAGATTTGATATTTGAAAAACAGCTCACGTCCTGAAGCCAAACAACCTGAGGTTCAAATCCTAGGCTTGCTCATATACTAACTCTGTGGCTGTGAACAAGTGACCTCCCTAAGCCTCTGTAAAATAATGAGAGTGGCTGCTGCTTGTCCAATGGTCACAAGGAATACATTAAAGTGTGAAATACACATCTAGGACTTTCAGGGAAACCGGTTCCTGCCCTTCTCTATCTCCGTTCTCCACTCATAGGACCTGAGTAAGCTGAGGATATCATACCTGCTCCCCCACAACCACCAGGAGACAGTGAGTTCTTGAGAAGAGGATCTCCAAAATAGCCCAGACGACAAGCTAAAATCTAAAGACTCTGCCCCCAACACACCCTCCAGAATCTGGACTAGCTGTTCTGGATGTTGTTCTGTGGTGTGTTGGACTGAACAAGTGCTTGAGCACCCATCAGAAAAGGTTCTTTACAGATGGCCAGTAGATCTCATGCCCAGGCCACCTTCAGGCATAACCAGCTCTCTCTTTCTCCTGCAGATGATGATGAGCATGAATGGATCATCAAGACCTGTCGGAAGGGCTGAGACAAGAATGTGGGTTAAGCTGTGAGCTCTGCAGCCACCTCCACTAGGCGTTTCAGCCTGTAACACTGGTACTGGCTGGCACAGGGGAGGAAGCTGTGGTTCTTCTTGATGCCTTTTGACACAAATAAAATTCTCTGCAGTCAGTAGTCTTAGACTCTCTTGGAAAAATGTTTCTCATAGAGTGAAGATTTTCATTTAACCTGCCTCAACTGGAGATATGCATGTCTAATGATTCCTTACGCTTATAACAGACTGAGAACTATCACCTTATGTTGTTGTTGTGTACTGTCAATACAGAACCTACCCACAGCTGACCCTCTAGTGAGTTTTCAGATGCAGTAATTTACACTTGGGAGGAGACTGTACATCCTCTTCTGGTGGAACAGCTGGTGGATTCAAACTACAGACTTTTGGGATTTCAGGGCAGCTTCTTACCACTAGGCCACCAGATATAAACCCATGAAATGTCAAAAGTATCTGACATGTGCCGGAGGTTTAAGTGTGCTTTATCTCCACTCCTGACAAAACCTGGCAAGAGAGTGTTTAACATCATTACACAGACGGAGACTCTGGCGTTCATTCAGAGAGACTGGTTGGTTGGTCTCCCCAAGATCACAATGCACTTAAATCCTAGTCTCTTTGAGGATACATCTTAGCTGTTACGTACACCAAGTTGCACACCTTACCAGTTTTGCTCTCACAAAACAGCATGACCAGATAACTGTGGCTGGACTCCAAGCAAGTCCCTTACTATAGGCCTAAGAACTACCCAGTACTGCCTCTCTTTCTTGGCAACTGTCCTATTGCACTGTCGACCCAAAGGCATGAGGTTCAAATCCACCAGCAAGTCCATGGGAGAAAGATGGGCAATCTCTTCCTGTGCTTTACAGCCTCCCAAAATTCACTGGAGGGCCAGCTATGAATTAGAGCCAACTCACCCAGCACAACATCCTGACATAGAATTTCAACACTGCCATAGAAAGAACATCATTTTGCCATAGTACATACCTGATTTCAGATTCCAGCTCAACTTCAGCTATCTTGTAACTCTGGACAAGTTACTTCACTTCTCTTTCAATTTCCTCATCTGTAGAATGAGTATAATGATGCTTCAAACAATTGCATTGTGTATTATTTAGTAGATTACTGTGTGGATTGAATGAGATAATACAAGTAAAAAAAAATCCAGTATTTAACAGGTGCTCATATGTGTTTGCTTTAAAGAACAATTTCCTAGCTCTACACACAGTGATCATTCTCCCAGATCAACCCTAGCTATCACGTTTGTCAGCTGAGAACCTGGAGAGGAAGCAGAACATATCCCATGGCTGCAAGCATCCTCAGAGGTTGCTGCATTTTGTAGTCCTGTTGCTTTGTTCCCAGGCTCACTAAAGCTGGGGAAGGGAGAAGAGGAGTCAGAAGTGGGAGGACAGTAGAGGGAGGAAACTGGACTTCAGAGAGTAGATCCAGAAGGCACCATATGGGGGCAAAACTAGGAATCAGAGCGAGGCCTGAGCCTATTCTTAGCTGCACCATAGAGGGTTCTGGGGGCTCTGCTTCTCAGCTCAGAGCTTCTAAGTAACTGCCATAGAATAAGGGGATGGTTTCCAAACTGTTCTGGAAACAGAAGGTACATTCATGTAAAGATATACACATACACAAAACAAAACTGAGCATACATTTTTTTCCAATAAATTAAAGATATCTATATAGATTTATATCAGAAGCATAGATGGAGAAATGGAACTGGGAATGGGGGATTTTTAAAAATCAAAAGGCCAAGAGCCCTGCAGATTTGATCATACTTTATACTATGAACTGTGCTCATTCATAGCTCACTTCTGTGCAAAGCCATAGATGGGAGCTGGAGAAGCTGCTGCCTCCGCACCGGGCTGGGCCACTCCACTTAACTGCTTCGGGTGCTGTGCTGACCAGGAGCTATGGTTTAAACAAACCCTTTTTGGTTAAAAAGGGGGGAGGGAGGGAGGGAACTCTTAGAATAGATATTCTTTCGCCCCGAGGGTGGATCTGGAATCTAACATGCGACTATAAAGACCCTGTTAGGGGCAGAAGCTGTGGAGCAGACCCTGTCTCCCATTCACTTCTTACCATACCAAACTCTTCCCCAGCTTCCAAACAGGCTACTCTGTGCTGTGTCTCCTGCCTGCCCCCAACACTCTTCAACATCAACTCCCACCTATTCTAGGAACTGCTAATCTGATAGGCTGTAGTTTGAATGAATGCCTCGTAGCCTGGATATTCCTCTGGGGCAGGGTCCACCTGGCATATATTTCTGAGTCTGCAGAGGCCCGCAGAAAGCATACATCCAGGGAAAGTCACAGGGCAGCAACCAGCATAATTCCTACAAAGCCTGACTAACAAGCAGTGGTGATCAAGTACTTAGCAAGGAAGCCTACCATCATTCCTTTGTAATGTGCACGGTTTACTAACCAGGAAATGAGACCAAGTATCCGGGAAGGGGAGGGTTGCACCAACAGCCCAAATAAGTGGAAGCCAAGGGCCTGAGTGAGCCTTTACCCAGACATCATAAAGAAATGGAATCCCATCGTGTTCTGGATTTAAGTGCCAGCACTTCTACTTGCATTAACTTTATTTATTACACAAATAAGACATTTACAAAGCACGACATGAAAGGTATGTAACAAAACAGACATTGGTTTTACCAAAAAGTGCTTACATTTTTTTTCCATGTGTGTGTTTTCCCCTTTTGTCTTTAAATAAATAGTCTTGACGGTCTGTACGTTCCCAGGCTACCCTAACCAGGGTAGTGGAGACATGTTTGAATTGCAACATGCTATGGCCACATGATCCACGCAAGGAATAGACCCCGGGGGGAGGTTCAAGGCAGAGTGGGTACTGGGAAACCCTGGGTAGGGCTCAGTTGGCCATTTTACCACATAGTTTCAATTGGGGCTTGACCATCAGGATAAAAAACCGAGAAAGGTTAGAGCTTTCCAAGGCCAGGGAGTGGCCCGGCTGTCCCTGTTACTGTCAGCATCCAGCACAGGGCCCCCCGCACAAGGTACTCACTGGATGAGTTCTTAAATGAGCTTCAGTTACCACGTTCTGAGTGATGCCATTTCTTTGCCCTAGGCCAGTTGTAACTGTCCTCAGAAGACAGAGGAAGCTGGTTCTTTCGTCAGGCGATATCCCTGTCTAGCCCTCCTCCAGGTGCCAGAGCAAGAATGCAATATAGGTTTTCATTTTAAGTGCCAACTTCAAGCATTTGGATTATGAATCTTTATCCAAACTCAGGGAGACAGAGAGTGCTGTGACTGATGACCCATGTCTGCCATGGGTGAAAACAAGGATGGGTACTTGTTTTCCCTGTCCTAAAATCGCCTTCCAGAAGCAACTATCAAGTTAACCACATGCTTAACAGGAGCATCTAGTGGGAAATGCATTGAGACACCAAGGAGTTCCAGAATTAAAAGGTACATTTGGGACAAATGGACGACCTTGTACACATAAATCATGGCCATGGATAGCCCAAGCCCTTTTGTTTTGAGCAAAGAGACATTAGCAAGATGGGTTTGATGTGAGTACAGCTGTGTCTGGCCTCTGTTCTCAGAAGTGGGTGGGCATGGATGGCTCTAGGCACAGTTGGTGGGGAAGCCCATAGAAGGCGGCTGGGCTGGGCACTCCTACCTAGGCAGTGGACACCCTCTCTGTAGTCAATTTGGGCTCAGAACTTGCTGACTGCCATTCACTGGACTCTGTTCCCTGGAACAACAGGATGACCCAGTTCCCTGTCACTGTCCCCTCAGAGGAGACCTATCATATCATCAAGGGCCAATAGGTTGTCAACAAGGGTCCCCAACTCTAAGCTGTCCAAACATTCTGAAATGTCATCACATAGATCAAATCTCTTTTCTGCTATGTTCCCTGTGTCCATGCTGAATTACTACATAGGACTAGAAAAAGCCAAACTTTTTCTTTCCTCTCCTTAAAATGGCTAGTGCCTCTCTTGGCCTAGTGTGTGACAGCCTTCTCCTTGTTCTCCAAATCAATGATGGTTGGTGGCCTCACAGCCCCCACTCAGGCCTCTGCTTTCTGGGTCTGGGCAGGCCTCCATCTCGGTCCTATTGGGTTTCTCAGGGTTGGTCAATGTCTCTTCCCTCTCTGAATTAACTTGACATAACCAAACAGATGGAAATGATAAAATTAGAACATCGCTTTCCTTTGGGGACATCCCACAAACACTGTAAAGTTTTCCAGACAAAAGCAACAAGAGTGGATAACATTGGCGGTTGTTGGCTATTCAGAATTCAGAGATGGTTCCAAGGAAGTAGTAAATAAAGGCCAATGGAGGAGGGGGGACCTGTAAATTAGAAGGCCGTTGACGTCACACAATTCAATACTGCCTTTCGCTATTGTAATCAGCTTAAGCTGACTGACGATGATGACTCCTGTGTAAATGGAAAAAAATAGGCTGTTGTTTTCACCCTGATTCCAAATGTCAGGGAGCTCTGCCTTCTGAGGAAAGGACTCTGCGGTGCTCCTGGTGGGTTCTGGTTCTTAGCTGGAGAGAGAAAGGCCAGGCCCAGGGGCAGAACTGGTGGCTGGCAGGCTGGAGGACAGAAGTGGATGTGAGGGCAGATGAATCCCTGGTGACAGCGCAGATTCTGGATTTCAGCAATTTTGGGGCAGTTGTGGGGTGCCCATGGACAGACGCGGAAGTGCTGGCAGCATTAGTACTGAAAAAGGATGACCTGCAAGAAGAGGACACAGGAGGTGGCTGAGCCAGGGCTCCTACCCTGACAGCCCCCCAAAGGTCCTCAAAGGCATGGAGGAGGGTGGGTACGGAGCCCAGATCGGGGGTCAAGTCCTGGCACTGTCACTTACTTGCTGTGGGACCTTGGGCAACTCACTTCACCTTTCTGAGCCTGTTTCCTCATCTGTAAAATGGGGATGACAAAATCTCTCTCTCAGAATCGTGGGGAGGATTCAATGAGATACAATCATAACAGCAACAAATATTTACCAGGCACTGTACCTTGAACCAGGCAGTGTGCAAAGTACCTCACATACGTGATGTCACTGAAGCCTCACCTCAACCCCAGGAAGGAGTTCTGCATCATCTCCATCTTACAGGGAAGGCCTCTGAGGCTCAGAGAGGAGCTCGTGAGCCCCCAGTCACACAGCTAGGAAGAGATGGACCCAGGACTGGAACTTAGGTGTGGCTCCAAAGAAGGTTTCTTTTTTGGCAGGTAAAAAAATATGTTTTCTTTTTCTAAAAACTCTGGTAACTTATATAAAGAATGCAAATTAGCATGTACACATGGTAGTAAAAATAAGAAAAGACTATAGGATGGTATTAAATGAAGAGTAAAAACGTTGCTTCCCAATTACATTATTTATTCTCAGGAATTCTCCCCGCCCCCAGCTTTTTAAAAAAATTCTCACTCTTTTTATTTTTTTTATTCATGTTGCCTTGAGGACATTATGCTGAGTGAAATATCGCAGTCAAAAAAGGACAAATAAAAAAAAAGGACAAATACTGTATAATATCACTATTATAAAATAGGACAGATATGAGAGGAGGGGTGTTGGGAAGAGAATGGGAAAAAGAATGGATAAATAATAAACACTGTATTAGAACAGATGAGGGGAATAACTGTTCAGAAGGAATATATAGGCATTATATGTATGACAACCTGGAAGAAGGAGTGCATTTCATGGTGGGCTGAAGTAGGAGAAGGTGAGAAGAGGGAAGAAAATGTGCAAGCTTTCTTTATTATTCTGCTTCTACCTCCTTGACCTCCTTGACACCTGTCATTGAAAGCTGACCATACAGAGCAATGGGCAAAGCCCTTCACATGCACTTAATCTCTCTAAAGCCGAGAGGCAGGTGACTCAGACATGCCTCATGCCAACAAAAAGATGGGGACATGCTGCCCCTTTCCCTCTTCCAAAACATATAGCTGACATCTCACAGTCTCCAACAAGACAGTTAATTCCCTGAAGTTTAGGCCAAGGATTATTAGTCAATTTATCAATGGGATGTACCAAAAGGAAATTTCAAAGAGGAGAATGAGTATGGCCACACAGTGATTCTATTTTCTGATCAAGAATTGTTTATTTATTGGGATCCCAGAAAAAAAAAAAGAATTGTTTATTTATTATTATTAATTTTAATGAAAATTTACAGAGATTTTGGATCAGGAATTTAACCTGCCCAGAATTAGTCACCAGGATGAGGAGATGGAGATAAAGCAGTGGTGATTATTCTCACAATAGAAATCTCAACAATGCCAATATTTATGAAACATTTTCCATGTGCAAAATATCATGCTAGAATCTTTGCATATGTTTTTCCATTTAATCTACAATAACCCTGATGGGAACTATCATTGTCCCATTTTTCAGATAAAGAAGCTGAGGCTCAAGTTTGACTGGTAGGGAGCAGAATGGAATAGAGAGTCTCCTTGACTCTTGCACTCACACTGCATTACCTCACCCAGTCAGGGGTAATGTTGGAGGGGACACTTGACTTTGGCTTCTCACTAAGAGAAACTCCAAAAGGATGATTCTGGTAAGACCCTTTCCCTCTGTGGGCTCCATTCTCTTCAAGTAATCAATGACTAGCTTAGCCCTGATTTCTAAGAACATTCAAAGTTTTGACGTTGTGGGATCAGGGGCTTCTGGAAGCTCACAAGCATATGCAGCTAATGATGATGTAATAGAGGCAGAAGACTCATAGCACAGCTTATCCTGGACAAGCCTGTGAAAATACATTTGAGTAGATTCTGGAGTTTGCCTAGAGGAGCACTGAGTCTTCTCACAAGTAAGATGCTCCAAGTCTGGCAGGACTTGAGGGAAACTCATATAATCCTGCGCTGACCATATACTGCCCCATACTCCTATACCTTGCAGTCATCTATGCCCCATGGATTTGGGCCACATAGGGACAGAAGGTTGCTAGAGGCTGGCAGGAAGGTCTGACAATGAGAAAGCAAGTCAGAAAGGCAGGAGAGACACTTTCTTTTAGAGCTTCTGGATATAGAGTTGGGAGCCAAGTCCAGATAAAGAGAACTCTGGCTCAACAGCCAAATCCAAGGGCCAGAAACTCTACAGGTGAAGCTGCCAAACCTCAGATTGGACTCATCCTTCTGGCTGAGCCAAACAGAACCACAAGCTGATCCAAGCCAACAAGAAGATGAGGACTTCTTTCTAAACACTGAGCCCAGCCATTTACAGTCCCTACTGCCCTTAGATAATTTCCCAGTTCCTCAGCTCAATGCTCCAGGCCCTTCATTACGTATCCCTACCTATTCCACCAGACTCCCTGTGCCCTGGTCACACTAACCAAGCTGCAGTACCCCAAAACCCAGGCTCTTCCACATCTCGGAGTCTTTTATTCATGTTGTTCTCTCCAACACAATGTCCTCCTTCTTGTTCTCTGATTCTTACCCTAGAGCTTATCACTCCCTCTTCTGTTCTCTTGAAGGCCATATTAAGTCCCCCATCCAACCTGCCCCATTCCCTGGCATGTATCCCCCTGCCCCTCCTGCTCTAAACTATAAGCTCCAGGAGGATAGGGCCTGCAGCAGCTCACCTCAGTAATCCCATGCTAGGGTCTGATGGGTTAATTGCTCTCCTGGAGGAGAGGGGCTTCTTGATCCTAATCAAGGCCATCTTGGAGTCAGGCAGTTCTAGGATCAATGATAGTGCTTCCCACGCTCACTGTCACTCTGGATCTGGATGCCTGTTCTGTCTGAGCCTCAGTTTATGCAGGTAAAAAACAGAGTTTATTATAATCACCAGCCTCCTCATAGGAAAGGTGTGATGGCTGAAGTCAGAGCACTGTGCAAAGTATAAGTGCTGTAAAAAGGGAAGTGATTATTGAATGGTGTGAGCTTCTGAGGCAGACGTACTGACTGTGTCACCTTTCTGAGCTTGTTTCCTTATCGCTACCATGAGGATGGCTACTCTCATACCCACAAAGTGGCTGAGAGGTGTCAACCAGAAGATGTGTGTAAAGGGCCAGCTGCAAATGAGACAGCCTCCCCAGACAATAGTGTTTACAGGAGAAGTAGTAGTACGTGCTGTTCTGGAGGAGTGCTTCCCAGTCTAGCTTCACATCAGAATCACATGAGTAGGTACTGCAGACGCAGGTCTTTCAGCCTGATCTCAGGCCTCCCTAATCAACTTCTCTAGAGGTAAGGTTTGGGAATCTGTATCTTTACCGGTTGCCCACATGATTCTTAGGTATGACAAAATCAGAAGCTATAATTTGGAAGAGACCTTCCATCTCTAAGGGCCTGGTCCTCTGTCCCTGGACCACACCACCTTGATTAACTGGGCTCATGGCCACCTACTGCACATCTGCCAAAGTTGGACTCCTTGAGGTCTCTAAAATAAATGGTGCTGCAACACTCCCCCTCACTGCTCCAGGAGAGAGTTCTGCCCCAAAGTCCCTGCCTCTCATCAGTCTTCCTTCCAACTCTGTGGGTCAACATTATCGAACTGCTCAGGGTTTCCAGAGACATGACAACCCATTCCTCAGGAACAACCCCAATATGCTGTCATTTGATCCATTCTAGAGTTTCCTTCTCCTACTCTTATTTCACTTTCAGGAAAAGTCTTCCTGATGTCCCTGTGCTACCCCTCTCAGGGCCCTGAGCTTCCACATCACAGTTTGATCATACTGCATTATCAGTGCTGGGATTTGTCTCTCCCTCCAGATTATGGCATCTACAAAGTCAGGGATCATGCTTTATTTATCTCTGTGTCTCTGCTAACTATCTCAGGCTTAACAGCACAAGTCAGAACATGCAAAATATGCACAAATAAATGAATGAATAAATGCACGGGTTCTCATGCAGGCCTTATGACATGGAGCTACCTGTGCCTTAATTTGTCTTAGAGTAACAAATTTTGGTTTTTGAAAGGGGGAAAAAATTGTCTTAGAGCACTGGCTTTCAAGGCTGTGAGATGTCTCAGAGCTGCTGAGAAAAAGCTGAGGCACCTATTCTCTCTGAGGCTTTACCCAGAGCTCTCTCATCCACCTTTATCTGTGTTATAGAAAAGATTAAATAAAAGATGTTAGTGCTTTAATATATATACACTTCATGTCACTGGACTGGGTGACATCTTTGACTGGTTAGTTCTAATGCCTGAGACAACCAGAGACAGATTCCAGAGAAGCCAAGGTAACTACTCAAGGCCACCAGCTTCCAACAGGTAGAAATGAAAGGAGCAAGTGAGAGATGATGAAGACAAAATGGTATGTGATGTAAGCTTTCTCTGAATCCACAAAGATTCAGTAAAGGAATTAAGTTCACAAATCAGAAGGAGACCAACTTGTCAGTGAGGGTTTAAAGGATATCCTTAGGAATGGCAGTGCCCACAGAGAGCCCACTACAGAAACTTAGGGTGACTGCCAAGGCAGTCACAGTCTGTGCGTGCTGGGCAGAAAGGGTCAAACAAAAGTGGCACATGTCCACCCACCACCAAGGAATATTGCCAGAAACTCATCCCTGGCAAGAGAGCTCTAAGCCCACCAGACTCACCCTGGCTCCATTTACCTTCTCACCCCTGTTGGCGAGTGGCCCGTCCATATCGGCTTTGAGGTGGACGGGAGGCGCGGTGTAAGGCAGCCGACAGTGTACCTGCCCGCATTGTACCTGACCTGTGAAGGAGAGGATGCCTTGGAGCCCATACCCAGCCTCCATGCAGGATCCCACCTCCCCTGTGCTCTGCAGCCTAGAGTCTTGTTTCACCTCTGTCACTTACCAGCTAGGTGATCATAGGCAAGATTCCAATAGGGTTGGCTGAGATGTATTATGGAAAATTTCTTGTAATCTATGAAGTGCCATACGATGATTAGGGTACAACTGTACAGGCCATTGAGTATATATTGAACAGGTTCAAGCAAGGCTGTTCCCCAACTAGTAAGATAATAAGATCTTTCCTTAGGGTCTTATACTTTCTTATCTTGCAGGCCTTTACAAGGCTTGTCTCATACCCCTAGAGGAGGACTTTGTTCATATGTCATGAAAGTGTTAGCTTAAAAGCTGGCTTATCTAACCTTTATGTTAGCCCTCTCTGGTATCCAGCTACCTGAACTGCAGACACATGGTCTTGCAAATCATAAACAGCTATGACACTAGAATAAGAAAAGAGAGTGCTTCCCACATTGAGCAGCAAGACTTGGAGGAGACTGGAGCAAGACCCCTTTGACAGCATGACCCTGATGATGGTGGTGGAGAGATTATGGCACTGCCATGGAGAAATTGTGACAAGGCGTACCAGAGGATCTCTGATATAAAGGCCATAGTTAAAGGTTTTGCTGTTTTTGCCAGATGATTGAAGAAGAAGCTGACTTATATGTGCTCTGAGGCAAATTTTACTGGGTGATTTGGATTTGTATTGCTGAACTGAAACCAGGACTTTTACTAATTAAGGAATTGTGTTTTGCTATTAATCTGGTTTGGGACTTAAGTGCTACACCTGGACTTTCATTGTAATGTATTCTTTGTCTTTCCCACTCCCCAACCTATTTCCTTAATAAACCCCACCCTTGGTACCACAACTGTGAGTAAAGTCTATGAGTCAACAACAATTATTAAACCATATGATTGGTAGAGATAGGTGTAGATGCACGGGGGTTGGAGAATGGGGTGGCATGTCTGACCTAGCAGCTATTTACTGCTATGGATATTATTCATAGGGATAGATCCCATTTACAAAGCAGGCAAAACTCAGACATTGTCACCCTAATGTTTCATCTGCTCCCTAGGCAGTCACCATCTTCATGACATCCTCCCTAACAATCCTATTTATAATTGCATTCCAACATCAAAACCCGCCTAAACTCTCCTCCTCTGAGTTGTTTGTTTTTTGTTTTGTTTTGTTGTGTTGTGTTGTGGGGTTTTTTGGGGGGGTTGTGTTTTGGGGGGTTGTTTTGTTTGTTTCTTTTGCCTTCCATAAGACTAAACTTCCTCTTACTTGCTGTGGATTTTTATTACTTATTTGATGTTATCTGCCTTTATCAACCAGACTGCAAGCTCCATGGGAACGGCATTTTCTGGTTGTTTTCTAGATATTAGATCTCAGTGTGTTTCCAGCACCTAGAATAATCCCTGAAGGTACTCTTGTTTGTGCCTGCTTACCACAACAGAATAGGTCATTGCCTCTCTTCCCCCTAGACCTCATCCCCTTTGGTCACAGAAGAATTAGTGCTGGATATCAACTAGCAACTGATTAAAACAAGTCGCTCTTCCTTTCTGAGCCACAGTTGCCCTATATGGAGGGGGGTGGAACCCCACTTAGATTTAATTGAGGATTCTCAATTGGAGTGTTCTAAAAATCCATGTATAACATAAACTTACAAAGAACACTATGTGTGTGTATGCACTTTTTTTTTTTTTTTAATCTGGTTCCAAATACTTTTCTAAAATTCTAAGCTGTAAGACTCTGGGAAACTGACTCAAGAGTCAATAATTTTTTTGTCAACTGCAAAGCAAAAATTCATTTTTCCATAGTCTGGTTCTAACACTTTGGTCAGTTTCCCAGCTGGCATATTCCAGAAAATTCCAGACCCCATGACTTTAGTTAATGTAAAGCAAATTCTGAGATAACTTTCAATCACACATAGACATCTTGAACACCTCCTGCCCCTAGCTGGGTTCAGCTTTAAGGAGATGAAAAAGGGGTACCTTCAGCTTCTCCTCTGGGCAGCAAAGATGGGGCTAGGTCTGGTCAATAAACTGTATGGGCAGTCCTGGCCAGGGACTCTAGAGACCATGTCTCCCTCCCAACAGGTCCCCAAGATATATTATCAACTGTTGACATGAAATGCTGGCTGGTTGCCCAGAGTGCTAGGACCTAAAGAGCCCCTGATCCTTGGTAATTTTAGGAGATGATCTAGGTGTTTTACAAGAACACTTCTGCAATGGGAGCTCTGGTGGCCTAGTGGTAAGGAGCTGCAACTACAATCCCAGAGGTGCATGGTTTGAATCCACCAGATGCTCTGCAGGGGAAGGAGGGACAATCTCCTCCTGTACCAGTCAGATCTGATTTGATGGTACACTCACACAAAAATAATAAAATAAATTTTTTTTAAAAAAGAATGCTTCTGCAGCCTAAACATATGTCTCTTAGTGAACAGATAATTGAGACATGAAATATTATAGAAAGACAAGACACTAAGTAATAATAGGTAAGACATTAAATAAGGACCCTGGGATCTTTAGTCTTCTGACTCAAACACCACCAGAATCACCACAGCAGTTAATCTTTAAGCAATACTCAATAAATAATAAAGACTAAATAATAAGGAAGTATCTCATCTGACCTTCATCACCTAGAAACAAGCATTCTAATATCTTCATTTTTTAAACAAATAAACAAAGACACTGATACTCAGGGAAGTTTAGAAACTTGCCTGATGTTAAACAATCAGTGGCAGGAGGTGGGACCTGAAGCCTGACAGTCTTACTTCAAAGCACACCCATAATCATGAAGGAATACTAGTTCCCACTGTCTTACTGTGGGCTCTGGATTGCCTCATGTGTCAGGCAGCAACCTCTGATGTTCAGAGTCACAAAAAGTCTCATCACGTCAGAGACTGTCATAGCGGTTTTCTCTCTCACCTCTATTCTTTTTCCCTTTTTCATGGAGCCAAAGAAAGGAAGAGTGGTGTTTGTGGGCATGTGTGTATGTTGTAGCCATTTCTATTTTGGGGCCATGTCTACCTTTGAGGAAATGGTCAATGGAAACACCCCCAAAGAGAAAGAAAACTGAAAGAGCATCCCCCAGAAATACCTATAGCTATTCCCTCACTCCTCCATGGCTACTCAACAGTCACTCCACTATGGCCATTCCCCAAGGGCCCTCAGGCCAGTCATTCATGGCTGACATGCCATCCTCCTGTACATGTCTATTTCCACCTATCTTCCACTCTGAGATATTAGCTCCATGAGGACAAAGGTTTTGGTCAAGTGTGTTCACTGTTGTATACAAGTGCTTAGAAGCCAAAGGCACTAAAAAAAGAAAAAAAAGTAGAAAAAAAGACCAAATGCATGAATGGATTTTCACAACACTGCAAGACAAAAACTCATTATCTCAATTTACAAGCAAGGAAACTGAGGCTCAAAGAAGTTAGATGACTTGCCCAAAGTCCCCAGGGGTTTCTGCTACTCTGGCCATTTTCTGGTCCATGTCACCATCGTTTCTTGAGCAGACTCTATCCACATTGACTCAACTGCCTGCCCTCTTCTTCCCAATTCCTTATGACTCCCTCTCCATGCTTCCCGCTTCAATTTAGGAGAAGCAACCCAAAACTGCTTCTCTAGACATTCCTAGTTATCACTTTCCCTTACAAAAATAATTAAAGTTAAAATGACATCTTCCTCCTTGCAGGCTGTCAACTACACTCGAGCTCACGTTGTACGAGGGCAGGGACCCCTGCATCTCTCTCCTTCGTCCCCATGCACAGAGGAGATGCTTGGGAATATGTTTTCAGTGGGTCTTCCTATATGAAGGGTTCCGACCCACAAAGGACCCAGGTCTTCAAGGCGAGTCTCTGAGAAGTGTCTCCTCCCCTCGGCCACCACCACCCACACGCCGCCCTGTCCCGCAGAGCCGCGCGTCCCGGTCACTTACTCTCAATGTAGCCGTGCAGAGTGACCATGCGCGCCCGCTCGGGGCTGCTGAACGGGGAGTAGTGGATGTCGTCTGAAAGGGCGGAGGGGAGGCGGGAGGATGGCGCCCCCGAGGGTGGCACGGGGTGCTGCGGCGTGTGTTTTTTATGGCGCGCCCGGCAATTTTGAAACCACACCTGGAACGACAGCCTCCACAGCCTCAGCACCGTCGAATTGAACGAGAGAAACCTTGACCCTGCCACCCCTCAGAACCCTGCTAGTTGCCCGCGGACATGCCCCCGGGTCTGTCCACTCGCGTCCCCAGACCTGACGTCCCTCGCACTCCCCCAGCCCCACCTGGATGACCCTCCGGCTGAGGCCTGTCATGTCCGCCAGCTTCTGGAGCGTCTGCGCGTCGGGGTTGTTGTCCTGCGCGAACTGCGCCTGCATAACCTACGGGCGCCAAGGTGGGGGTGGGGGTCGGTGAGGCGCCAGAGCGGCGAGGTCTCCAAGGCCTCGGTCGAATCACAAGCTTCAAGCCGGTGGCCACGCCCCAAGCAGCTACAGCCCCTCTCCGCCACCCGCGGGTCTGGGCCGAGGGGGCGGAGTCAGGTGCCCGTCCCCGCCTACCCCCGAGGCCCCGCCCATGCCCTGGCCGCCCGCGGCCTGCACGGGTACCTGTAACTGTTCAGCGGTGAAGGACGTCCGCGCTCGCTTGGCTGGCTTGGGCTGACTGTCCTGTTCCGAGGGCACTGCCCCCTCCAGCGTGAGGCCATTCCCTGGGGGCGACAGAAGCGGCTGACCACGCGACCCCATCTCTTCTAGAGGCAGCCTGGAAAGGACGGGGGTCGGGGGAGCTGGTCCCTGGAAGGGTCAGGAACGGAGTTGGCTAGGAAGGGGATGCTTGGGTGCTAGTCTCTGAGTTCAACCTTTGTGGAAGGGGTTTCAATTTTTTATCCTCCACTCGGTACCAGATGCTTCTTTAATTTGTCCTGCACATCTCACAACCCTTGGAGATCATGTTATTATTCCTATTTTTGCAACGGAGGAAATTGGCGCTCCTAGCAAAGAATTCCAGAAGTACTCAAGAGCATTCGACTAGGAGTCTGAAAGCTATCTCCACCCTGTAAACTGGGCTTCTGTCCTAGCCAGACGAAGAGAAGCCTACTACTGATGGAGACTGGAAAACAGCAAATGGTCATCCCATTTTTGTAAAAGCAGATAGAAGGAAAAAGTTGCGAAGATAACCAAGGTGTGTGTGAACTGTAGTCACTTTCTAGTGGATATGATCAAGGGCATTCTACTTTCTACATTTCTGAAGTGGTTGACGTTTTTACAAAAGTCTTGTCATTTTCTTTCTCTAAGGTTTTATTTTGTTAACTGAAGTATATATAAGATAGACCCATTCCATTCATGTTAACTTCCACTACTATACTAAACCACTAAATAGATTCTCATTTTCTAGTACCTCAAGTGAATACAAAACCTCAGAAAGTATTGATAAGTAATAAAAATTATCTCTAACCCTATCACTCAGAGATAACTACTGAACTTAAAATTATTGTAAACTTATTGTAATATATTTAAGAAAAAAAATTGCGTAAAAATAAAAGAAAAACTCATGTGTGTGTGTATTATTCTTACTCATCTTTTCTACATTTTCTACTCTCTCTAAAAAAAATTATATCCATCATATGAGTCAGAACTGTCTAAAAACTCATCCTCCACAGGGTTTCTGAGGGTGCAAACCTCAGGGTGGAGACTGCCCATCTTTCTCCCTTGGAGCGGCTGAAGGTTTCAAATCACCAGAGAAGTCTGTGGTTTTTGGAACACAACATCCTACAGACCAGACCTCCACATTTTCTACACTGAATGGATTTTTGTCATTGTTTTGTTTTTTAGTCTAATAAGTAAAACACCAGCAGTGAGGAATCAGATCATCAGTAAGAGAGATAGAAGGCTGGAGCCTGCAAAGCTTTAAGCTCCTCTGCATGCACAAGTCTGGAATTAGGCCTGAAAGAGGTGATCCGAGTTAGTACATCAGGCATTGAGGAGTCTAGGTCACTGATGGCCACAATGAGGGGGAAGCTCTTTCTCTGACTCCTGAGTTTCCAACCCAGATCTACTCCTGACTTGCCTGCCATAGAGGATAACTTTACAGCACCCCAACTCCCTACTTAGCACTGGTCCTGGCAGGTTAAGATAGGTTTTAGGAGACTTGCTACATTTCTGTAATGGCTAAGGTTGTACAAAAACAATATTTCATCTTATTTCTCTGAAGTTTAATTTTGTTGAACCATAAAGATCTTGATGTGGTCACAGGCAGGAACACTCTGTTTCCCTAGACTGGGCCTGGGATGTTATAACCAAGTGAACCATATTTCCTTCCCAGAGGTAGAGCTAGGGATGGGGGCAAATATTCTGTAATAATACTGCCCTTTGAGGGAGGAAGCAGGGCAAAGATTGATATGCCTGTGTTTTAGTTGGGAAAATGAAATTCACTGAGACAACCTACATCCTAAAGCTTACCTAGCTTTATGAGATCTGATGAAGAGACTCTAGTGGTTAGAGTTGGCACCTCTTTGGCAGTTCGAATCCACCAGCAGCATCTCAGGAGAAAAGTGGGCAATCTCTCTTGCAATTTAATTTACAGCCTATGAAAACCCACTGGAAAGTGATCAGTGATGAGTCAGTTCCAACTTGACAGCAACAAATTTGAGTTTTTTGAGGAGTAGGAGGTGGGCAGTATTAGTAATTAGCATTGGTTAGTTAGACAAGAGATTGAATTTTGTAGGCAAGCAGATCTACTAATATGTGATCATTAGCAAGTTACATACTGCAAATAACTTCTGCCTATTTCCTCGCTTGCAAAATGGGATGCTCAGCCTATTTCCAAGAGTCACATAAAATAATCTATGCTAAAAGGAATTAGAGCTTCACAGAAGTTAGATGTGGTGAGTGGATTATAGAAAAATTCCTCAGTCTGCCCACAATCTAGCCTCTACTCCCCTTCTCTACCCAATGATCTTCACTGTGACTCAGCCAAACTTGAATATGTCCTGTGTGTCTGGAGGAATCAAAACATCATAGCTAGAAAAAAAATAATTAGTGATCATTCTAGTCCGACATCCATCTTGCATAGTTGCTGAGACTGAACCCCAAAGAGGTAAGGATATGTCAGCATAGAAAGACAGAAGTAATACAGGAATGTGGGTATCCTAATTTAGAGAATTGAGCTCTTTCTCCCTACAGTAGAGACCCTGGTCCAGGGTGAAATTTCTACCCCACAGACTTCACAAGTGGAAGTGGGGGGACAGGGCCACGTCTTCTGTTTAGGACTGGATTAAAACTGGTTCCAGGCAATTTGAAGGGATGAGATGGTCTAGAGTGCTATCTAAAAATAGAGTGGGCTGCTACATTAGAAGCATCATCTCTAGCAGCCACTGAGGGTATTCCAACTTTACTACAGCAGCTCAGCTAATGTATGTCCTATCCTTAGCTTCTTTTTAGAGGTAAAGAAACCTAGTTGCAGAGAGGTCCCACAGTGAGCAGCACTAGCTACTTTATACTAACCCCAGGCCATCTAAGAATGGACAGGTGGGAACTTCCCGGGATGCAGGAGCAGAGTAGGAAAGGGCTGGGGTCAGAGGTGTAGCCCAGATGCTAAGCTATGCAGGTTGGTTACCGTTCTCAGCGGCCCTCTTGAGGTTCTCGATCATGGTATCGTAGTGAATGCGGCACAGCACCTTCTCCTCCACCAAGCCGAACTCCTCACCAGTGGACAGCTGACGTTTGCACGAGAAACAGGCGAAGCAGGCTAGGTGATAGGCGTTGCCGCGGGCCCTCCGCACCCAGTCACTGGCGTAAATCTGTCGTCCACACCGCGCACACTTGGTCCCAAATCGGCTGCGGGACACCAGGACCAAGGAAGGGAATAGTGAGGCTCGGACAGCCCCTCACTGTGTTCTGCCTACTCCCAGCCTCCTAGCCTTATTACTTACAAGGACCTTACACTTTCTTTTGCCTGTATCCTTTCTAAAGCCAGATCTCCACCTAGATGGTGAGCTGGTGGGTAATTTTTATTTACTGCCTGGTACTTCTCTTAGTTTTTCAATTTTTCTACAATAAGAACCTATGTTGATGTATTAGTTTATAAGACATACTCTATTGGGAAACCATAATAATAATAATTAAGAGTAGATTTATATTTTCTGACACTTGCCAGGTGCCCATAAAGATTATTTTACCTGAATTAATGAAAATAACCCTCTATTTGCAGGTGAGATAAATCAGAATTAGAGAGGCAATGTCATCTATCTAAAGTCACAGAGCTAGAATCTATCTCCAGAGATGAATGAGCTCCAGAGAAGCTCAGAGCTTCTTGGAAGTAAAGACATCAGTTACTGGTGATGCAACCCTGGGCAAACAGTTAAGTCTCCTCTGAGTTCTCATTTTCTTTGCTCAGAGCTGAGCGAGATGACAAGAGCAATAAATGCCTAGTGTTATTTTCCCAATGCTTTTACAGTCAACTGAGTATCCAACTTCCCTGAGCACATGCCAGGATTCCAACCCAGGGAACTGGGAAAGTAGGCGGGGAGCATTCCGACACTGATTTTTAAAAGCCTAAGTGTCCCCTCTGTTCTGAGATGTGATTCTGCCTCTCCTTCCCTCCCCCTTCCCACCACTTTGTAGAAATGCTATTTGGGTTTGGCTGCCTCCACCACTAGACTGGAAGTCCCTCCAGCAAGCAGCATAGTACCTTTCTTTCCTCCTAGAGGTCAATCCAGGCCTGACCCCTCAGGAGAGTTTATTCCTTTTGTGGATGACTCTCCCTGTGACCCCATTGTTTTCTTCTGGTTGACACATGCAGAGTATGGTACCACACTGATGTCACACCTCATGCTTGAAAAACTAACCCCATACTGACTGATTATCACTTACCTCTGACTCAGTTCCCTAACATCTTTTGATGCACCTCTACTGCCACCCTCATGGACCAGTTTTCCACCACCCAGTCCATTCACTGCCAGTCTCTCCTCCACCCAATAGCGATGGTGAAGTTTCCACACATTGAATCCTGTCCCTCTCTTGCTTATAATTTTTTTGTGGATACATTAGTGGATTCAACCAACATCCCTGAGTTTCTCTAAGCCCAGTATACCACATCCTCTTCACGCCCTGATCTTCTCTAACCTTTCTGCTTTCCTTAAGCACGAGTCCCACTTAGACACTTAGAGGATCAGTGACAAGTCTTATGTCTCCTCTGGAGCACTTTCTCAACCCCAGGCCTTTGCACACCTGTTATTCTCCCAACATCTCTTCCAATCCCACTAGCACAGCCCACTCTCTCAGCATTGATGACACAGGTTTGGAAATGCCTGGTTCTCCCTCCAGAGTCCTATGCGCAACCCGGGAGAAGACCTAAGGCACTGAGAAATGCCTGCGCATGCGTGGGTAACCAGTCTAGCCTAAAACGCTTTGTTACAGCCTCATGTGCCCTGGTAAGTTCGAGTTAACTGCCGGTTTGAATGAAAAATCTTTAGTTGAAGAATTGAGTGTGGAACCAGGAGGCCCTACTCAACCAGTCTCAACCGTTGGAAGCACCCCAAAACTTCCTCTTTCCCTGAAGGAGAACAAATGGGCACTGATTTGGAAGGAGCCGTTCACTCAGGCGGCACTGGGTGACTGTGAGTGGACAAGCCAGTGAGCGGTCAACTGCCCCAATAAGCAGAGGCCGTATGCGACCCCAGAAAATCAGCTTCCTCGGGAGATCCCTGTAAAGGCCGAGGAAGACGTTTTGTGCACCCGCACCCAGAGTCCAGTCCAAGGACGAAGGTGTTAGGGGTACAATCTGGCCACCGACGGGGAATGGTTTCCGATAAATTATGGTTTAGGAAAAGGAAGACACCGCCAGTATGCTGAGCTTTAGGGCTCTAGGGCGCAGCGCCTTCATTGAATCCGCCGGTGAAGTGGAAATCAGAGCGCTCATTTGGCGCACGGGGAATCAGAGATGAAGAGCGGGGAGTGACTCGTCCAAAATCACACAAAGTGTGGCGCTCCGGGCCCCTCGGCGGAGCAGGAAAGAGCAGGAACATACGGGAGTTGAATGGTTAGAGGCAACTCTGGCAAAGTCAAGACTCTGAGTGGTTGGGTGGATGACCATGAGGTCCTGGTCAGGCCACGCGGCTTCGCCACGCCTGCCGCAGGCCTTGGAAATTCCCCAATAACCTGGTTCGGGGCCTAGCCTGCCCTGGAAGGCAGAGAGTGGAGGATGAAGATCCCCTGGAAGAGGGGTGCAACAGGGAGGGGAGATGGGTCCCAGCTCTGAGAAGCTGGAAGAGGCGCCGGCACGGTGTGCGAGCTGCGTGCGCCTGGGCCCGGGCACTGTGGGAGACGGTGCGCCCAGGGCCTCGCGCTCCGCTATGCTAGGCACGTCCCGGGAGGCACAGCCGAGACTCCCCGAGGAGTCCCGGATCCTCTCGTGCCCAGTTGCCGCCGCCAGGGTCTGGCCTGTCTGACACAGGTCGCCTGCAGTGGCGCTATCCCTGCACCTCAAGGCGACTTCTCCTTGGAAGGGAAATAGCCCGTGTCTGTCACCTCCCATGTCAGGTGCGCCCGGCGCTTGGAGCCACCGCGTTCACTGTAACTCAACTCTATAAACGAAATCGTCCTCGCGCCACGTCTTTATATGGGAATAGGATCCTTATATCAGGAATCACTATTCAGGTTTGGATGCGTTGCGGGCCACTCCGGTAGCGGCTCCCCATCCCAGACAAGGGTCAGAGCCACCGCCCGGGGCAGGAGGTGGCCCCGAGAAGCTATCTCCCAGGCGGGCGGCACGGCCCAGGCGCCGGGGATTCCAGAAGCAGCGAAATCCGCAGCAGAGACAACGAAATTTCCAGAAAGCGGCGTTCAGAGGTCGCGAAGGGAGCGCTGAAAGGGTGAGAAGGCGCGGCTCCCGCCTCCTGCGCCTCGCTGTGGGGTTTCCGCCACGCGCGCCGCTCCCGTCCCCGCGCATCTAAGCGAAGCCTCGGAGGATCGAGGCGCTTTGGGATTGGAGAGGTGACAGAGGCGGCACATCCAGAAGCTGGCTGGAAGGAGCCCAGGGAGAAAGGCGCGCACCCCTTACCCCCATTGCCTGAACGCCCGGCTCAGGCATCAGGGCACCCGAGCTTGTGCGGAGGGATTTGTGAGCGCTTGGCCAGGTCAGCCTCACTGTGCCCACCTACCTCACTAGAGCACCTAGTGGGCCTTCAGCAAACCCTTCCCCTGGATAAAGCGATCCCTTCTCCATATGAGGAAATTGTGGCGATGTCTATGTTACTTACGAAACTCGGGTATGGAAACTCCAGTTCATTTCTTTTGTGTTCTAGATGCTCACTTGAACATGACCTTAACTTATATGTGTGACACTGGGGAGAATGACACTTCTTAACCCCCCTGCACTCTCCCTTTTACGCAAACCCTTTAGAGAAAGCAGCTGGAGAAACAGAACCAGCAATTAAGAGGTTAAAACGCCCCGCCGCCTCGGAGGTCCTATCCCAGGCCCCTCCCCCGAGCTCCCCTTTCTGCTCCTCCAACATCTGTCCCCCAACAGCTGGCGGCCGCTGGGCCGGCTCTCGGCCGCGGTGGGGGGCCTCTTCCCGGCTCTGTACCTCCCCTGGGACCCTCGCTCTGGGGGAGGGGTTGGCTCTCCCGCTGGAGCCGGAGGACTGGACTCTGACCGGAGTTGGAAGCAGGGGAGGGTGTGTGTGTGTGTGTGTGTGTGTAGTTCCTGAATCACCAACTCTAAGCCAAGGGACAGGAATTCTGGAACCGAAGGCCCAGCTCAGGGAACTCTTACCACCACCACCACCACCACCACCACCACCACACGCCCCAATTCCCATAAACGCCCTGGGAAGTGGTTAACTCTTCATTCCTCTCTCCCACGGCTAGGCCAGAGGGCCAGGTACCACGGTGGTGAACTAATTTTGGAAAAGTTGTTCCTGCCCCGGTGCTCTGAAGGCCCACCCAAGAAGAGTCACACATCAGAGGACATAGTGGGTGTTCTCCCAGTTGAGCAGGGAGTCTCAGGACCAACAGAGGGGGTCCCACCTTCCACAAAGGGGAAGCTGAGCTCAAAGTTGGAAGTACAGGGATGTGAGGGGAAGAGATGGTGAGGCCAGTCCCTCAGACGGCCTATCTAGACTCTTGTCACTTATTAGCTATGTAGTCTCATTAGCCAAGGCATCCTTTCCATTCCTACAAAGTGGGGGTTCTGGGAATTTCATACTCATTTGGGAGACCTGAGGGTTAAATGAGATAATGCATGTAAAGAGCCTGACAGACAGTTACTGGCATAGAAAAGGATGCAACAGATTTTAATGTTAGCTGCCCTTGTCTCTGTTTAGCCCCTCTTCCACTCACTCCTTCACTTTGTGCTCTTGGGCACTTGATTTTCACTCTCCCAGGTCTTTAGTCTACCCAGTTATATATACATGGGCAAATGCTCCACAAAGCTGAAGGAGCCAGGAGGGCACTGCAGATCAGGCAATACCCCATTTGGGGGGCAGGAATTGCAAGTAGCCAGGAAGGAAGGCACTGTAGGCCTGGGGGTGTGGTTGCTGAGGGCAGTGGAAATGTGAATGTTTCAGTAAGGAACACTATTTTGTTTTGTGTGTTGTTTCCCCCCCCCCAAGGATTTTTCTTTGCTTTTTAGAAGAAAACTGAAAGAAAAAATGAAAAATGGTCTTCACACACATGTAGGAATAAAAAACCTCAAACCAACAAACCCTTCACATTTCCCACATGATACTTTTTTTCTTCAAGATTATCAGGGAGTAAAAAAAGGTAGGAGTCTAGCTGAACCCACAAGGGCTAATAAGGTCCCTGTTTGGAGGATGAAATGAAGAAACAGGCAGAAAAGTCCAGAGGCCTTGCCAAGTACACAGAGCCAGAAGAAGCAAGCCTTTCCTGCCATGCAAATGAGCTTGAAGAAGCAAAGAGACCACCCTCAATTACCAAACTCTGTAGCTCCCCTCTGTGGTGAATTTGAAGTTTCTTTCTGACCCCTTCAGTTTCTGAGCTACCAACACTGGTTCTCCCAAAGCAGAATGAAGGAGAGTCTACCAGCTGGACAGAAAGAAAGTGGCAGTAAGGTCAAAGATCTAGATAGAGGGCCTTGAGGCCTTCATCACTCACTCCTTTCCCTCCACCCAACCTAATGGGCATCTAGTCTTCTCTTTGAGCTGACTGCTCTAGTTCACTGATAATCAGACTATTGACTCTGGGCTCTAGGAAACAGAGGCCTATAACAGTCTTAGTACATGACCCTTCCTGAAGCCCTAGCTCCCAAGAAGGTTGCTCTGCCTCTCAGCCACATTGTCTCCTGGAAAAGCTTCTTCACAGCAGCCACTCAGAGTCTGGATTCCTGCGCCCTCCCAGTGACAATAATCCTTGCTTGTAGCTCTGCCTGCCTTTTCTCTCTCTTGCTGTAGGTTTTATTTTAACCTAGGGACCAGTTATTTCTGCAGGGAGAACTGGCTGAGGGAGAAAATGATAAGAAAGGCCTTAAGTTTTCCCAGAAGAGCTATAATTCTACGCTCAACACAGAGAATGGGAGTTTTTACTCTCCATTTTTTAAAAAAAAACAAGAAAAATCTGGCTTTTGTTTTGCAGTCTCTTGTCATTGTCAGAGGATTAGCACTCAGAACCTGCAGCCCAGAAATTAGTTTGCCCCATCCTTCCAAGCAGGCTCTCTTAGCCCTCTTATTCAAGCTGCATGGGATGAATGGCATTAAGGGACTGTGTCTGGAACCCACCATGCCCATGATAACAATGTACTACTTGAAGCACTCTTAGTACTTGACACTAGGAGGGGTCATTGCCAAACTTCCTCCTTCTTTGGCCTCCTTGGCAGGTCAAGAGACAGCACTGCAAAGGGGAAATGAGAAGCAGAGAGATGCAGTGACTTGCCTAAGGTCACACATTGATAGTGTTGTTCTGATGGAATGAAAGCAGCCACACACTCTACCCTCTGCCCCAGGACTGGAGTCTGTGGAAGCTCTGAACAGTAAAGTTAGGTTTCATATAAGGTCAGGTAAAGCACAATTTCCAAAGGGTTTTAATCCAGCCTAGGCATGAACAGAGGCTGAAGAAATAGTAAGAAATAGTAAGAAAACATTTGCAAGTGCCTCTCTGGGCTGCCAGGTCAACTGTCACCAGAAGTGCCAGGAGAGAAGTCCTATCCTAGATCTACAGGGTGAGAGGCGAAGGCACCATCTTGTTAGTTTCCAGGCTGGAGCCTTGTCCTTAACTAGCCCATGAGTCCAAGGAGCCCCCAAAACAGCAGCTGGCTTTTTTCTTTCCCCTCTCTCCTTTTTTTTTCCCCTTTAAACAAAACAAAACCAACTGGAGACAGGCTTAGCACAGGGTGGTGGTTAAACATAACTATAGACCCTGTTTCGTCCTGACCAAGCCAACAGTCAGACGGAAGAGTATGGGGAGATATCATATTCTGGTTCCACATCACACACCCCTGGCTGCACATGGACACACGCCTTTCACAATGATATGCTCCCTCTCATACACACACAGAGTACCACATTCACAAACACATTCGCAGAGATAGACACTCGCACCCTGGAACCATCAATGCTTAGGTGGAAGCCATTAAGCAAGAGTGGCCCCTTGGGGGAGAGTTTGGGCAAAGGAGAGGGTAGAAATAGAGAATGGAGGGATTTCAGAATCTTCACACTACCTCTGCCTCTGATCCCTGTCATAATCCTGTTCTGACTACCTTGCACAATCCCACACACAGACACATAAAGTCCCAACCTTCCCCCATTCATGTACATATAAGAAGACACATTCTCATAATTCACATAGAATGAAATACAAATTGCTTGTCAATAAAGGAACACACACATCATCCAGACATCTCTGACACAGCTCAGTGGAACGTTCACCCAGCTCAACTGCAAAGGTCCTAGACACACACAGAGACTCATTATATTCTGAGTCCCAGGCCACCTGACCAAGCTCTCTAGTCTCTATCAGCTGCGTATTCTTTCACACTCATCACACAAAGGAAGAATCAACTCCTTTCACCATGCTTCCCAAGGTTTCCCCCAGAAACACCCCAAACCACAAAGCTGCAAACTTCTCCCCAACCTCAAGCCTCTTTCCAGGACTCTGGACTGTCAAGACTAGGGGATGATAAAGTGGGAGTTGCCACTCATCATTTCTCAGAGGATTTTTGGAGGGGTGTCTCAGGAACACTGAAGCCAGGAGCTCTCCTGAAGCAAAGATAAGAAGGGTGTCTGTGAAGTGGGGAGCAATGGGAGTGAGGCTTTCACCACTTGCTGAGAATGCATTTGTGAACAGTGTCCCTTTCAGAAACCAATCCTGCTCCAGTCTCCTGGGACTCCTTTGGCCTACAGCCTGACATCAAGCCTGTTCCATCTTTCTATAGTGACAGGGAGGGCAGTTGTGGCGCCCTTGACCTCGCAATGACCTCGATCTCATGACCTGGTCCAGTCTCCTCCCCAAGGCTTCAACGTGCCCAGCCTTTCTTGAGCTTTTCAAGAGCGCCCAGCATTGCAGCCGCGTGGGGTTTGGGGCTGCTGCGTCCCACTCCCTCCTTCCTGCCTTGGCAATCCAAAGCCTGGAGCCAAAGGATGCCCACAACAACGGATGGAGCTGAGATTGAAATGGGCACCAAGCCCTGGGTGGGACTCCAGACTCAAATGGGACCTGAGAGAGAAGGCAGGGTTTGAATTGAGTTGGAGACTTCGACTTGAGCTTCAAATGAAGCTCTTGGATATGGGATCGGCTCTAAGACAAATTGGTGTCTAGTGCTTGGGACCAGAACCCAGAGCTGGTAAGTGTATGACGCTGAAGCAGAGCACAGGGTTCTGTCGGCGAAGGACCCAGGCAGGTTGGAGTATGAACACAGTTTCAGATGTGAATACAGCGCCGCATCATACCAACATGTAGCCATATCGCGGCCTGGACCTGAGCCGTCCCAGCCAGAGCCAGGAACATCAGAGATCAACCGAGGGCTCGCTTGGGGCAGGAACTGGAATCTGAAATTTGGGTAGAACCGAGGCGGAGCCAGAAACATTACCGAGTCCCATTGGGCCGTGAGAACCAGAGGCAGTTCACGGGCCGAACCTGTGGCGGTGCTGGCTCGAGGCCTGGAGGTCTAGACTGGCGGCATTGTGCGGTCGGTCCGGCTGGGCCGCACCACGCGCCGAGTACTCAGTTCCACCCGGCTCAGGCGCTGCAGGCCCCGCGCAGCCAGCGCAGCCTCCGCGCGCTCCCGGGTCCGGCCTGCCGCGGCATTGCTGACCCAGCGGCCGCAGCCTACCTGAAGTAGTCCATCTTGCAGAAGATTTCCTTGTTCTTGATGTAGCAGCTGTTCTGCTGCCGCAGTGACGTGCGACATACGGAGCACTCGAGGCACCGCACGTGCCAGATGAGGTTATTGACCTGGGTAGGGGGGTGGCGAAGGGAGGGCGGCTCAGCTCCTGGCCTCTTTCACAGGTCCTCTGCCTTCTCCACCCCTTTTGCAGACTCCGAAGCTGCAACCCAGGAGGTTCAGGGGAAGCTTAGGAAGGTAGACATAAACTCTTTCCATTTTAGAGATGGGATCTCAGGGGCTCAAAGAGAACCCAGGCTTGCCTAAGGGCATGTAACCAGGTAGCGGCTGAGCTGGGGTTTCGCATCAAGCAGGCGTTGCTCAAGGCAGTCCTAGGAGCTGCATCCTCCCCCCTTCCTCAGTAAGCCTACCACCCCACCCCACCACTCCATCACCATCCCCACTATCCGTCCTTGGCTCACCTTGAGCAGATATCGGTCCAGGATTTCGAGGCCGCAGCTGGAGCAGATGTTCTTGCCGGCGGACGGCACGGAGGAGGCCGCAGAGGGCGGCGAGCAGATAGACGGTGTGCTGGGCGTGCAGGGAGAAGTCCGACCCTCATCCTTGTCCAGGGCGCCTGCCAGGGCCTCTGCGTCTGACTGAGCCTGCCGTGAGAGGGCAGAGGGAGAGTGCGGTGCTGATCCCGGCCCCTGCCTCGGAGACATATGGGAAGGGGACCTAGAGTGCCAACTGGCAACGAAATCTCCCCAGAACGCCGCGCCGTGGGTTGGAAAATAGGAATGGAAGGGCCTTTCTGAAAAGGAAAACTTAAACTTTTAATTTGGCGCGTCTTGGGTGCCGCGCGAGTAGTCAAAGCCCACATTCTAGGGGGGGAAAAAACGAAGGCACAGAGAGGGGCAGCGTCCGCAAAGAAGTAGCCCAGCGCCTGGGCAGCAGTTTGAGGACAGAAAGCCAGGCCGGGTCCCCGAGACTGGGCTGCAAGGGGCCGGGAGCGGAAGGCCGGGCTGAACAGACTCACCATGGTGGGTGGTGCGGTTCCCTCAAGGCAGCGGGTGTTCGCTTTGCAGCCGGACCCAGGCTGGGCCATCACCTGGGGGAGGGGAGTGGTAGAGGAAGCGAACGCAGGCGGCGGCGGCTGCACAACTGGCTCGGCGCAGCCTGAGCCCAGCGCCTCCCCGCGCCTGTTATATAAACCGGCGCCGAACAATAAGTCCCAACTTTGTAGTGGGCATTTAAAGCCCTTCCCCACAAAAGCGGTGTCTCTCTAATGAAGCAATTTGAATTTGGATTGGATTTTTTCCCTCTCTCTCCCCCTCTCCCTGCACTTAACCCGTGGCTCTTGAAGTAATCGCTTAGTTCCCTTGCAATCCAAGCCTCTGAGGGGGAAAAAAAAACGCGCACACACACAAACTACCTGCAATTAGAAATTGTCGTGAATGCCCAAGATAAGAGGTAGCCAGAGTGTCAATTCCAACTGTCAATCAGTGAGATCCATCAGGCCGCCCAAAGAATTGCAAATTTGATTTTTTAATGGTAGTAATTAAAAATCGAATTTTTCTCTCTCTATTCCCCCCTCCTTCCTCGCTCCCTTCTCCTCCTCTCGGCGCAAAATGCACGAAGGAGAAAAAGGAGAAAGAAAGAAAATAAAAAGGAGATGGGGGTGAGGAAAATAAAATCCGGAGCGAATGAGCATCAGCCAGCCTGCACCGTGCGCGCCGCGAAAATTGACGCGGCGATACTGACACAGATTGGGGCGCTTTTCGAGGACCAACCCGCGGAAAACCGGGAACAAAATAGGGGCGAGATGGAGGGGGGAAATGAGACCAAAGGAGAAAAGCGAGGTGTCCAGGAGGAGGCAAAAGCACACCCCAGCCCCTCGGTGCGCCTGGGACCGGCTCGGCGTCGGGATTCGCAGCGTTGCGCCGGTACAACCCCTGGCGCATCGGCGCTATCAACGTCTATTCAGACGGACAATACCGGCCTCGCCTCCTCTTGATTCGCCTGTGTCTTTGCTAAATCGCTTTTTGAGAAATTCCTCCAACATTTGCATAATGTGTTCCCGCTTTCCGCGCCCACCCCCCCGCGCCCGCGCGCGCTCACACACTCACGGGAGCACCCCCGAACCCCTCCTCCTGCCGCCTCCCGCCACTGGCCCGGCCAGCCGGGGTCCCGGCTCCAGCCACCCCGGCCGCGGCCGCTCACCCGCTTTGAGAGCCGGCTCACCTGGTCGGCGGCACGGCCGCCCTCCGCCGGCAGCCGGCAGCCCTCGGGCAGCGCCGGGGCGGTGTTCTCATGCTTCCAGTACATGGGCTGGGCGGCGACGGGCTCGCGGGGCGCGCGGCGCGCACAGCCGCGCCGAGGGGGGCCACGGCCGCAGCCGGAGCACACGCCGCAGGCCGAGCCGGGAGAATATCGAAGCTCCCGTCCTGCCGCTCCGGGTCCGGCCCCAGTCTCAGTCCCGGGCCAGCGCCCAGCTCCGGCCTCCTCGGCTGCTGCCGCCGCTGCCTCCAAAGAAGGTCCCGACAAACTTGGAGAGGCCCCCGTCCCCTCCTCCTTCTTCTCCTCCTTCCCCTCTTCGGAGTCCTCCTCCTCCTCCTCCTCCTCCTCCTCTCCCTCCTCTCCCTCCAGCTGCAGCGGCGGCCGCCCTGCCGCTGGAACCCCGCTCGGTTCAAGATGAGTCATGCGTGACCAATCCCCTCCCAGCCAAGGGGGAGCGAGACACACACAACGCTACAGAGACTCAGGCACAGAGACACAGAGAAACAAGCCAGAGCTGCTGACAGAAGACTCAGACGCATGCTGACACACAAAGGCACTGGTTACATTCATCCAGTAGAGTTCTCATTAAGGCTCTACCTCAAGGATCACCCACCTCCCTGAGGCATGGCCTCCCCACTCACAGGTACCAGAGAGGGGCTCATGCTCTTATCCCCTGCAGCGATGGACTCCATAGAAAGTCGCACAATAAACCTCGGTGGTGCAAGGTACCAGGTACAATTTGTGTACATCCCAAACCAAATAATTTACCTGCTCGCATAATTTATACAGGCACCCACCCATACCCTCACACACCTGTACAGACTCCTCTAGTCCATAACACTCAGGGAATGCACTAGGTCCTAAAGGCTGGATGGGGTTGGGGAGGGTAGTTCTTCCCAAATCTCCTAAGAGGACTTTGCTGGGACACTCCACTTCCCCTTCAGAATCGACTGAGTCTCCCAGTTGAGTGCTCATCTCCTATGACAGACATCTCTAGAGGTCTTCTGATAGCGTGGATGGAGGAAAGGGATAGACCAAGTATTCAGATAGGAGATAGGCCCCAATTATACCCCAAATTCCACAAATGCTTCAAACTCAAAGAAAGAGCCTGACTCAACCTTAACAAACCCTCTACAACGTACAAGTAAACACTTGCAGCCGTAGCCCCCTTCTCTACAGAATCTAGTGACACATGGAAAGATACATCCTCTTTTAAAAACAAATACGCACACTCGGATTTCTATACAACATAGCAAGCAACAAAACACTCAACCCCATACCATCACACCATCGAACATCCCATCACCTCCAAAACCAGACTCATTTACAAATGTAAACACCCTCACAGGATTGTTCTTATCCTTGTACACACTCATGCTCAACAGTGCCCAGACTCCCACAGAACTTCAAACCATGGATAACCTCACACCCTTTACTCAGACATCCACAAATATGCACACCCACTTCTACACTTGGCAAAAAGAACCGTTTACAGGCAAAAATATCAGACACGTTTCTGCAGACAGATGGTTCCCAATAGTCACCGTCTCTGTACTGTATACACACAAGCACATCCTAATGGATACAGAGATAAAGATACTGTCACAACAGCATAATTAAAGGCCCACCCCACAAAAGAGACAAACATCTGGTCATTCACAGACATCAAGGTACAGTCCCAGCTAAAATCTTCCCCATTCCTTACAGTCCAGAAATTTATTGCACTTCGATACAGAAATTCATAACAGTTTCTTTGTTAATCTTTTACACTTACAGCACAGACTGCAATGGGAGAACGAGTGTGCATACACACATACATGTACACATGCACCCTCAAAAGCACATGTGGCCAAAATGAACAATTGCCAATATACCTTTTAACACAACTCCTGCTACTCCTCTTGGGTATTTAAATCTATACCAGGCAAGATGCTAGCATTTTATAAGCACAATCTAATTTTCTTTTCATTATAGCCCTATGAGATAACATCCATTCTTAAAGCATTCATTTTACTCATGAAGAAAGTGAGGTTCAATGGGAGCATGTGCTATGATCAAACCAGTGTTGCTGGATAATAATTATAGGAGTGGAGACCTCAAAATGAAATGTCTGAGCTCAGGCTCATACTTTTCATTTCACACACACACACACACACACACACACACACACACTCACTCCACTGTATATAAAAAAAGATCTGGATGTGTGATGTTGTGAGTTGGTAACTACAAAAAAGAAAACCGGTAGGATTTAAAGCTTCTTAGACAAGAAGGGCAGAGGAGGTTTGAGCTGCAAGTTAAATGGCAAGTGAGAGTGAGATTTGGACGTGTTCAGGGGAGAGAACAAAGTATTCCTGGTAGAGGGATGACTGCAAAGGTTCTGGGACTGAACAAACAAGCTGTTGTACCTCTGTGTGGAGGAACAGAAGCATTTGCGAGCCCAAGTACTGTGCTTAAATGTATGATCTTTGATCCTCACAGCAACCCTACAAGGGAGTTATCTTTGTCTTTATGCCAAGGAAACATGCATATGTGATCCTCATTTCAAGCTCTGCCATCACACTAAACACTTACCTACTATGAAATTTTTTTTTCATCATAATTACACTTCTAAGTGTAGCTTGAGTTTTAATAACGGATGGCCTAGTGGTAAGGAGATGCCTTGCCAACACGAAGACACATGGTTCAACCCCACCAGCTGCTCTGTGGAAATAAGGTGGGCAGTCTCTTCCAGTGTAATTGAATGCTTCTGAAAACCCACCGGAGGGCCAGCTATGCGTTGGTTATGTCTCAGTGGTACATTAAGAACAACAAGAAAAATAGTATACAGGATATGCCAACAAATTCTTTTGACCTCAAATATAGCTCTTACGATGGAATTCTGCTGCTGAATTCTGAGAATTTAGTTTGTTTGGGTGTCAAATTGGGCACAGGTCTGGGTAAAAGGAGACATCTCTGTTGACGTAAAGTTGACTCTGATTCTTGGTGAGTCCTGTGAGTCAGAGTAGGATCACTCTATAAGGCTTTCTTGGCTGTAGTCTTTGTGTAAGCAGATTGATCACCATGATTCTCTTCTGTAGTGCTGTCGGGCAAGTTCCAACCACCAGCCTTTATGTACAGGGCAAAATATTTTTGAGCCACCTGGTGTACCTTTGACACAGGCCCTTAGTACTTAAAGAATAGTGGACAAGTTATCAACCGCTAGTGCAGTCTTAGTGCCCTACTCTGTAAAATGAGGAGGCTAACATTCTGGTAGTCTAATTTTTGAAAATTAGAGCAAAGATCCATGTTCTAGAGGACTTAGAACCAAGCCTGACCCACACAGTTCATAGCACATTGATATTAGTCATTATTTAATACAGTGTAGACTGGCTGCATTTTCTAATTATCATCCTGCCAGGTCTGACATCAAATCCTTTATGAAACAAAGCAGGGCATGAATCAACCAAACATTCAGCTATTCTGCACTCCTCTGAAGCAGCTGTAGAATGATTATTCCAACCCAGGGTTTGCTTGTCTTCAAAGACAACAGAAGTGAAAGAACTTTGAACAAGAAATTCTTCTTCCAGCAATCCCTAATTCCAGCACAAAAAGGAGCCTGGTTATGAGCAGCTTTGGTAAAATTTGGAGTTAACAAATTTAGTGCCTTTCATCAGGATGTTAAATTCCTTTCTACTGGAGACTGTGAGTAACTTACTTTTTCTCACTGAGTCCCAGTTTCCTTACTTGAAAAATGGGGGAACAATGCTGACCTTTCAGGATTGTGGTAATGATTAAAACCCAATATTTTTTTTAAAACCCAATATTTTTAAAGTGCAGACTTCTTCAGATACTGTATAAAGTACCCTACATGTTTTATGCTGTTTATAATATCTCACCATGCTCCTTCTCCTCTAAACTAAGTGTGATGTGTGGCCATCCATCTGACTCTCTAAGGTGAATTTTGCCATCTTCCCTCAACTTAAGTCTATGCCCAAGGTTTGGGTTTTAAAAGAGACTCCATCAGTAACCTGATAATTCTGTGGGACGCCCCCAGCAGTGGCTCTGCCCTGACAGGGAGTAATTCTAGGAAAGTAACGTGAGCTGGGGGGAGGCTGGAGACCCAGCTTCACATTTATTTGCTCTGACAGCTAAATTGGTGAGCAAGGGGGAAATCAGATGAAAGCCATTTCGGAGAAAATACTAAATACAGAATTGAAACATTCAGGTTATGACAAATGGGGACAGGGCAAGGGGAAGAGACACAGGCAGCCGTCCTCCAAGCGCAGGACCCCAGCCACATCTTGTCACCTTCTGGATATTTCCTTTCTGATAAAGGAAAGAGCACAGAATGGGATACAAACTGCATGACCCGAGGCAAGCCAACTGACCTCTCCTGGCCTCAGTGTCCTCTTCGGTAAAACAAGTGTGTTGTTTGAATCAGAACGATCTGAAAAGTGGTGGGGAGAGCATCTTGGAGGCAGGTAAACATGAGATCAGATCTCAGGCCAGCCACTTACTGGCTGGATGACCCTGAAAAAGTCAGCATTAGAATTAATTGCTCTGAGCTTCTGTCTCCTCAATGATGGGGATAATTCCAACCTCAGGGGTGTAGATGAAATAATCAGTGCAGGAGCTTTTCAAACCTCAGAGTATATTACACATGTGAGCAAGGTCTCTCTTCTGACTGTGACATCCTGAATGACTTCAGTTGAGCAGACATTTATGAGAGAGCTCTGGTGGTGCTGTGTGTAGTGATTTGACCTACAGGTCAAATTGTAGTTGCTGACCTAGAGGTTGTACATGCCTCTTGTTGTTCAAATCCATCAGCTGCTTTATGGGAGAGTCCGATGTAGGGTCATTCTGACTTGGAACCTCCTGGACAGCAATGAATGAGAGAGTGTGAGTGAACGAGATATTTACATGGTGTTTACTCCATTGTCATTCTGTGTTGAACATAGGACACACATAGGAAAAGGTCCTAGTCCCTGCCCATGATGACCCCACAGCCTATCAGGAGGGAAGAAAACTAACATTCATAAGCGAGGATGAGGAACACAGAACCTAGTTTATGGGGTGGGCATCAGTAAAGGTTCCCTGTTCAGTGAAGTCATAAAGAAACCCGTGAGGTCTTTAGGGTGTGCAGTTA